CTGTGGTCCATCGACTTGTGTTAGTGGAGGGAAGGTGGCTGGGAAGAAGACGTGGAGACACTTACGTCTCCAGAGATGACGTCTCTGACCCGGGCATCGGCAGCACGGAGGGGTGGTCCAGAACACCTGTCACGGCCACGCAGGGATCTGCCCGTGTTCTGCGAGACCGTGGCTTTCATGCATTCGGTTTTTAGTGTCATTTATGTCCCACGAGAACATCATGTCTCATAATGACATGCCATACCAGCTGCAGGTCCCCCACGTGTACTTTAAAGGCACATGAATTTGGGGCCAGTAAGTGGCATGGTGGCTAAGGCGCTGGACTCCCACCAAGCACGTGACAAGCACGGTTCAAAGCCCTGGACTTGGCAGCTTGAAACTCACACTGAATGTATGTGTGTGTGTGCATGCTCAAGATCCCGAGAGGAGAAAAGAGAAGGGACTGCAGGGTGGCCATTTGCCCTGGGGGGTGGTTTTTTGCTTTCTGTCTCTCTCTCTGTCTCTGTCTCTCTGTCTCTCTGTCTCCTTGGTGAGCCCGTGCCCCCTATAGCAAAACTCTCAAAAAAAAAAAACCAAACAACAGACCAGGCCGGATTATAACTGGTCTGAAGGAAGTCAAGGTGACACCGAGAGCCACCCGCACCTGGAATCCCATTCTTCCCATTCACGAACGGGGTAATACGGGCATTTCCGAGGAGGATGCTTTTAGAATTACCTTTTAGGCATCGAAACTTGACAGGCAGGCCCTGCGCACAGTGAGGGCTCCGTCATTTGCCTGCAGCACGCCCTGGCGGGGTACACCCGGTTCACCCCAGCAGCTGAGCTGTGGGAGGCTGCTGCCCGACCCCGCACACGCCAGTGTCCTCAGGGCCTGGGGCCTTAGGCTTACTCTGGGCACCACGGAAGACACAACTGAAGTGGCTTCTCTGTTATTCAGGAAAACGGGCCTCCTCCTGGTCCACCTGGGTACTCTGACAGACAGGACACCGTCTGTTTCCTGCTGTCCTCAAGTCTTCTTCCGGCCTTCCTGAAACCGCAGCTCCCGAGGGCAGGGCCCTCCCCCTGCTCTCACTGCTGGAGGAGGGGTGATGGCTGCTGACTCTCTGGGGAGCGACTTCTCTGACCAGGTACTGACTGCAGGGTCTCAGGGCGGCCTCTGCTCCCGGGCCCTCCCACAGCCCAGGGCTTCGGCCTGCCTTTGTGGGGTGTGGGTGGTTCTCACTTCTGGCTGCGTGTGCAAGAGCTTTGAAACCCGCTGAGCAATCAGCATCGGCCCATTGGTAATGATTAGCCAGACAGCGGGGGCAGGATGTCCCACGCGGGCTGTTTTTTTTTTTTTTAGTTGTAGGTTGGAAGCATTCACTAGAGAGGGAGGGGAGAGAGAAAGACAGAGAGAGAGAGGGACAGAGAAATCATCCCTCGGGGGCATGGCCTTGAAATCCTTTCTTCTCCACTCTTCTCTTGGGATACTCTGGGTCTGAGACTCCAACCTATGGTTGGTCATGTGGGAGCCAGCTGCCTTAACCTTCATGCCTGGACCTGTTGGCCCTCACCTCACTGGCGGCTTTGGTGTAGACAGCCAGCTGGTGTCTACTCAGCCAACAGCACCCCACAGGTAAATGCCCGTGGGCAGGAAAGGATTGAGGCCCCAAAATCTATTTTTAAATTTAATATGCTTCTGCAATTCTAGCAGCCTTGGGAAACCCAACTGTTAAAACTATATATTCACTTTTCTGCCTGAAGTTCTTTACAATCACTAGCTAGCAACTGGATGCATTCAGTTACATTTACTGACTTCTGTCCCGAGCCCCCCGGATGAGAAACAGCGGCAGGGAGGCCCCGTTGCCGGTCTTTCCAACAACCGGCACGTTGGGGCCACCTGCTTCTGGGGGCTGGGTTGGGATGCGTGTTTCAGGGAAGGTGGGTGAAAACCACCCTGGAAACTGTACTGTCACACACTGCTCAACGCTGCACCCTTACAGGCTCGTAGTGGCTCACATTGGTGTTGGCATGGTTACCGCTGTGTCCACCTGGTAGACGCACCACTGAGCCGTGTGCCACAGCAGGCCAGAGCCAGTCCTGGCTGGCCCACG